GTGCCACACTCGCGTTTTAGGTGCGGGTATCCCAAGCAGTGCTTTCCTAACCTTTTAAAGATGCTACATTTAGCCCTTCCCCAAATCTACACACGTGTATTTTACTTGTGGAAAACTATCGATTTGAACAGGTTTTGGGTTGGAGATTCTCGCCCATATCAACTCTCCTTTCTCTCTGAAGTTCTTGCTCCTTACGAGATGCGCCACACTCACGTTTTAGGTGGGCGGATCCCAACCAATGCTTCCCTAACTTTTTAAAGGCGCTACTTTTAGCCCTCCCCCAAATCTACACACGTATATTGCACTTGTTGAAAACTATCGATTTGGACAATGTTTGGGTAAGAGATTCTCGTCCATATCAACTTTCTTTTCTCTGGTTAGTTCTTGCTCGTTAAGAGATGCGCCACACTCGCGTTTTAGGTGCAGGGAACCCAACCAATGCTTCCCTAACTTTTTAAAGATGCTACTTTTAGCCCTCCGCTAAATCTCATGCGTGTATTTTACATGTGGAAAACTATCGATTTGCACAGTGGTTTGGAGATTCTTGCCCATATCAACTTTTTCTTCTCTCGTAACTTCGCGCGCGTTGAGAGATGCGCCACACTTGCGTTTTAGGTGCAGGGAACTCAACCAATGCTTACCTAACTTTTTAAAGATGCTCCTTTTATGCCTCCCCCAAATCTACATTCCTATATTTCACTTGTGGAAAACTATCGATTTGCACAGTGTTTGGGTTGGAAATTCTTGCCCATATCAACTTTCTTTTCTCTCGTAAGTTCTCGTGCGTTTAGAGATGCGCCACACTCGAGTTTTAGGTGCAGGGAACCCTACCTACCAATGCTTACCTAACTTATTAAGAATGCTACTTGTAGCCCTCCCCCAAATTTACACGGCTGTATTTTACTTGTGGAAAACTATCGATTTGCACAGGGTCTGGGTTGGAGATTCTTGCCCATATGACGTTTCTTTTCTCTCCTAAGTTCTCGCGCCTTTAGAGATGCGCTACGCTCATGTTTTAGGTGCGGGGATTCCAACCAATGCTTACCTAACTTTTTGAAGATGCTACTTTTAGCCCTCCCCCAAATCTACACACGTGTATTTCACCTGTGAAGTCTATCGTTTTGGACAATGTTTGGGTAATAGATTGTCGCCCAAATCTATACTCCTGTATTCCACTTGTGGAAGTTGAACCTCTTCCGAAAGGATTGTCTACATCCATTCCTAACTCAGCCGCCATGCGCTGTTCATCTGTTAGGATCATGTCTCCTTCATAGAGATCTGGGTCATCAAGACCAGCATTCTCTATGGAAAAAAACAGTTGTCCCTTATTGTTAAAAAAAAAAACGAAAAAATATTTGTTTTTTAAGGAGGTATTTGCTAGTTATAGATTAGATCAGTGGATGAGAAATTTTAACTGTTATCTGAGAAACGTCTACACTACGCCGGAGAAATTTGAAAACGCTGTTTTATTTCTAATGTTAGACCTACCGTCCACACTAATCCGTCACAAAAACGGAGCTTTTGGAAAGCGCTCTTAAAACCGGAGGAATAAAAAAACCCTGGCTTTGCGTTTAAGTGTGGGTGGAAACATTTTAATAACGGAGCTTTATAAAAACGATAACGTCACGATGATCATGTGATCTCCACGCTCGAGACTTTCTCAAACACAAATCCAAAATGGCCAGTGATTGTTGCGCTTTCAGATTTCTTTGGCGTAGTGTGCACGGGGTCTTGCTGATAGCTAAGATGTGCAAAATGTACTGACAGCTGATGACAAATGGCCTATAATTAACTGATAACTGGAATTCCTAGAACCTCATTGATACCCTCTAAAAATTCACCTTATATAGAAGAATCGAGTGCTTTAACTCTTTGCAGATTATGATGACTCCTGCATGTGTTCCACTTCACGAACGCGACGTTCAAATGAATATGTGATCAAACATAAGATTTGTTTGCTGCAATTTTGTTTTGGTACTGATGTTTATAAATAAGATCATTGTTATAAGGAAACTCGCCGTCTGGGTTTTCTGATGCTGCGAGCGCCACGCCAAACAACAAAATCACACCAACCCACTTCACGCTGCTTGCTACTACTTCAAGGTAATGCGAATCGTTTTCCTAAACAGATGAGATTCTATTGAAATGTTTGTCACTTCACCTGTTCAATTTAGTTCGCTTTTTTGCATAAAGAGTTTATTATCGTTTAGTAAAATGTTAAAAAGTTATTTGTACAGTTGACACATGTTTCAAGTTTTCTTTTGTATTAAGACTACATGCCCCCTCAGTTACCCAAATGCCTTTTATCAATACCATATTATTCCCCCGCGTTTTTTGGGGGCGACTTCAATACTTGAAAGAATGATCAATGAATGAAAGACTTTATTAAAGTGCCAATGGTATTTAGCTTAAAAAAAAAAGAAACAATTGGGAACACCATTTACATATTAAAATATACCTTAGCTACATAAAGTTAAAATTATTTACAATCTGAAATCACCTGCACAGTAAAATGACATTTGCTGCAGGCTAAAGGAAGTCAGAGGGAGACTGAGAATAGTTATGTGCAGATCAATGCAGCGAACACAAAAGAATCTAAACAGAATTATGCGAATAGAACATAAACCTATTAACGTTAACATATTATGTAAACAAACTCGCCCAAAACTGAAGGAAAGGAGTAAAAATGATGTCTATGAATAACTATCCAACCTTTCGTTTCTTCCACACTTGCTGTTGCTGAATTTTTATCTTTTTGAAAAATGTTATCATTTGTTTATTTATCTGTCTGCACTGTTTAATCGCTGTAAAAACTGCAAATATGTGCAAAAAGCCGGAAGTGCCCTACACGGGATTTTATTCAAATATTATCTGACCAGCTGGTCATGCTGAACAAACTGGACTTACTGGTAATACTTGTACTGTGAGATGTCTGATACTGCAACTTTTCAAAAGAAGAACACTAAATTAAAGTGTCAACCATCTTTACTGTATTTTCGCTAACTGATCAGTAACTTACATGTACAACTGGTGGAAATACATTTGAAACTACTGATTAAAAACGGATGCTTGCTCTGCAGTATAAACACATTTCAATTCATTGTCTTTTTTAATGTTGTTATGAAATAGCACAATGTTATATCATTAATATATGAAGTCTGGATAACAAAAGTGTTTAAATATCACTCCTCTAGCTCATGGTTAGTACGCTCGACTCCAGATCGAGAGGTCCGGGTTCGAGCCCTGGCGCAAGACATTGTGTTGTGTCCTTAGGAAAGACACTTCACTCTCACAGTGCCTCTCTCCGCCCAGGTGTATAGTGCTAGGGGTAACCGTGCGATAGACCAGCTCTCCAATCAGGGAAGAGTAAAAATACTCCTTGTCGCTTCATGCTACGGAAACCGGAGGTAAGAACCGTCTGATGGGCTTCCAGGCTTGTGTTCAGATTGAAACTACCCTAATTGACACATTGGAGTAGGTCTTATGCGAATTCTAATTATGAAGATAGGTGATCATTAATGCATGTTTTTGGATTGCTAGCGGAATTAGCGACACATTCTGAGACTGTCAGCGTTTTCACTAATTAATTCTTTCAATTTTTCTCAATATGTTGGATTTATAGATAAATCTACGTTGTAATCTTAGTTCTTAATTTATGGTGCATAATTATGCATATTTAAGTTTTATTACATTTTAAATTTACTGTTCCTGAAGAGCCCCAATGGAGACTTTCAATCTATAAAGTTTTTATGTATGTATGGAGAGGCCTTGCCCCAAATTGCACAGTTATAATAGAAAGCTATGCACGGGCATTATGTACTTATTCAGTCACTAAACCACCCCCAGAAAAAAAAAGACACACTAGCAGTGCAACTGAAATCCAACGCAAGTACGAATAGAGTTTTTCATGTACTAAATTGAACAGTATAAAAGCAGAAAGCCACTGTAGTAGAAAGCCACTCTACTACAGTATGTAATAAGATGAATGTCATTCTTATCCTACAAAATTCTTTTCCAGAGAAAGCAAAATTTTCCATTTATATCTTACATATCAACAATACAAAACCTCTGTAAACAAAAACTTAACTTAATCGACTTAATCGACGCTATGAAAAGTGAGCTATAAGGACGCTGCTACAGCAGATCTCAAACTTTAAAACTAGAAACAGGAAACCAGTATATTTCGAATGACTGAATTTATCGCTTGAGTGGTGCTGAAGCAAAATCGGAGGCTCAGATTTGGATTCAAAAGTTGTCAAGGTATATTGTCCGTGCTTTCCCTCAATATTTTATATTTGGATATGAGATTGGATATGAGATGGTAGATAGCCAACGAGTTGGCCATGATTATCTCATATCCAACAAGCGCGAGTGGAATAATTGTTTTGTTAAAAGCGCCACCAAAATATAGAAAACAAAAGTAAAATATGTGTAGAGCATGGAATAATGCCTGATATACCGTGATGGCAAAGCCAATGAAAACTCTTGAATTACATTTTCCGATGATCCAATTTGTAATAAGGAGTATTACACTACTGCACGGCAGTTAACCTTAAAAAAAAACCCTCTGCTGAATCATTCAAGTTTAAAGAGGAGTTTTGTTAACCATCATTTGATATACACTTGATATGACATTTCTAGCACTTTTTCGGAATTGGTTAAATAAATTCGGTCTAGATAAAGGTAAAACAGGAATTCCTCGTCCAAAATGGAGTGGTTAACTATCGATTTTTTTCACTTTGTATTTTTAACCAAATATATAAAATACTACAGACAAAATTAGATTTTCGTCAATCAGCCCTTTTAGCTACCATTGAGTGTCAAGAGTGCGAGTAAACTTGAGGAGAAAATTTTTGAACTGTTTGGGTAATTTCTCGTGTCGTGGGCATTTCAATAGTAGTGGAGTGAGAAAGATTAATATTATCATTTTTCGGGTACTTTAATTTTTTTTACGACTGGTGTCTAAGGTATCTCAGTCGTAGATGCATGAAAGAGGCAAATTGGCAGTTTTAATGCTTTTATTCTACTCTAGTGTTTTTGGAACGCATCAATACTTGCTTTCTTGTTTTAGATGATGACCTGCAAGAATTAAAAAGTAATACAGTCATTAGAATTTCTGAGTAAAACATTTTGTAAAATATTGTTCTGATAAAAAGCGCTAACCATGGCTTATTTCTGATTTTGCTTTCTTCGCGTGGACACATTTTGGAATAGCCTAATTTGATCAATTATGGCAGAGAGGGATTCTGTGTCACCAAACACGTGCTATAGTCAAATGAAGTTCAATTCTGAACACACGGTAACGAATAAAATCTAAAGGCATCTATTACAATGGGATGAAATGCATGTAATATTTTTAAGATACAAACAAGCCCATGAGTTGAATTATACGGAGGAAAGGGGCAAAAGGTGGAACTTTTCATCATCATTATCATCGCTACTGTTATGGTTATCGCCATCGTTAACATTTGATTATAACTGATTTTTCGCCTGGGTTTGTTATCAGACTTTACAGCATTGAGGACAGGATAATTTCTGTACCTTTTCCGTTACTCAGCAGAGCCTGCAGGTCTTTTTACAGTTTTCTCTCACATATCTGTGATAGCTGCAGTATTCTGTCCATCCTCCGCATCTGCTGTCTTTGTCTTTGCAGTTGTTGCCTAAGAGAGGAAAGGAAAGCTGATTAGAACCTTTTGTAGCATGATCACCTGAAAGAGTATTCTTCAATATCTGTTTGGCAAAGCTTATCAATCGAAAAAGCAACTTTTGTTCTTGAACAGAGTAGTGCGTAAATTGAGCAAGTCCCACTAAAAAATCTACTTTTTCTAACGTTATGTTGTTGCATATATGTTAAAGTAAATGATAACATATGCTATGAATTTTATTTGGCCTATCTATGGTGTTCCTCAACTGTTAACTTCTTTAAAAACTGAATATTAGTACAATTTTACAAGGTAGCTGTACCCTCTCTGGGATAACTTTCGAGACAAAATCCAGCATTCCAGAGAATACGACACCCTCCATTGAAAACAGGTGATTTCAATAAGGTAAGTCATTCGCATAGTATATCATCCCATATGGTGGATTATTGTACAACAAGAAAAACTGCTATCTCACCCCGAAGTTTGAAATTATTTATTACAGTGTTATAAATGAAAAACAAAAATGATAGGGGTGCTGGCTACCCGACATAACGTAAGAGTTAAAAATACCAGGCAGCCAGTTAAAAGAAACGATGTTTTACCTGTCTAGATCAGGGACACAAAACAAACAAAAAAACAAACATAGACCCACACGTAAACAAACTAATAGAAATAAGCGAGGTTGAGCTAATTATTACCAGTAGACTAAAGTTCTTACATTGCAAAACAGTATTTATATCTAGGAATTCGAAGCGCAATGTACGGACATTTAATAATCTTTAATATAGTGGTGTTTCATTTTTTTTAAGCAAAGTCGATGAAGACGATTTCATATATTCATCCATGGAATTCCAAACTGATGGGCCGTGAAATCTTACATTGAATACTCTGTGATTTATTCTTGCTTTTGGAAGACAATAAGACCGTTTTGCAGCGAGTGTTATGTTTTAGTTATGGATGTGTGTTATTTTAGTGAAGAAAGTAATAAAGAAGGATGCTAATACGCGATTATGATAATTTTACACAAACATTGCCATAAATAAAGTTACTACTAAAGTTTCTGACTGCTTCTTACTGAGGATAAATTAAATTCCATAGCAAAATTTCAGCCAATAGCTCAAAATGCTTAATAGGGAATGCACTTTTTTCCAGTTAATTATGCTGCACGCGGCTGTTGAATCTCTTTTCGCTCACTAAAATTTCTTCGCATCGTGAAAAATCTTCATATAACTTAAAAATACCTAACATAGGAAAAAGCTTGATTTACGGTTTCCTCCGATTTTTGGTTAGACTTTAATAAGCAGATTTATTATATGGCTGTGTCTCACAAGGACTGGGAACTACCGAATTCACGAATTTGATTGGCTGAAATCGATACTGACCGCGGTCTAGATTTTCCCATCTAGATCGGCATCTAGACCGGTTTCATTTTGCGTTGAAAAAGTAGCAAACTAAAATACACAAATTTTCACCATTTTATTTTATTTTCTTCTCAATCATTTATGGAAGGGCCAAAAAGCCTGATGACAAAAAAAAAAGTTAAGAGGACGAGCAAATTTCGGCAGGTTTAAGTTAAGGTCATCGCCGTTCGCAAGCGAAATGTCAGCAAACCAGTTACATTAAACGAATTAAAGTTTTCTTCTTTGCCATATAATAAACATCTTATTAGCTAAGTCGATCTGTATGGGAGAATCTTGACCTTGGTCGTTGTACAGACCTCACTGCGTTCGGTCTGTACTCACGACTTCGGTCAAGATTCTCCCATGCAGACCTCCAGCTCGGTTAATAAGAGCTAAGTAAAACAAACGTCATCCAAAATATTTCATCAATCGTTGCCAATGTAGAGCTGATCACATAAATAACCATCGGGGTTGGATAAGAGATCGACATCCTTTCTTCATTAACCATCATTCTTTCATGAAATGTAGGAGTATTGTGCTCTGTCAAAATTAAACTAAAAAAAACTGCTATTTTATTCATATAAAAAAGAGCCCCGAAAAACTAGTTCACTCTTGTAACTATCTTAATTCTATGGATGAAGGAACAATAAGAGGCAGGATTAATATCGTCAATCTTGGTTCATTCGTTTGTTTGCTTGTATTTTTTGGGATTTGACAATGTTACGCCTACCTCCTCCTCCACCTCCACCTTCGCACTGTGATTTGTACAGGAGGTTCATCTGCTGTGCATCTATAGCACTGATTCCCCTCCGTTGACCAAGTGTAACCTGGAAAAGAAGGAAACAATTTCATTACTTTGTTAAAGCTACAACAAATACACTTTCATTACTTTGTTAAAGTTACAACTTATAATGACCAAATTTTACGCATACTCAAACGAGATCTTGCTTCATTCCTACTGAGCAAGTTAATTCTGAAAATATGAGAGCCGGTAATGGGCTCTTTACTTGTGAAGAAGAGCGAATTATAAAGAACTCCGTTTTGAAAGGCCAAGAAAACACCTAGTTTGATTTACGGCTGAGTAAAATAAACTTTATTAGACATTAACATTATAAGTTCCCATTCTACGTTATCAGTTATTAGGGCTTCCGCAGGAAAGCCCGAGTCAATGCAAGCCGTTCTTGGTCCCCAAAAAGAAGTGGTTCCAGGCGTTCCTAGCGTAGACCGTGGAATCGAGAACGCGACATCTTTCCGTATCGTATGCTCGCTTTTCATCAGCGGCGTATTATATAGAATGCATTGTTTTGTGAAGAAACTTTTGGCAAGAATCAGGCCTTATACGTTCATCCCACTTAGGAAGATGTCGATCGTTTTGGGAGCGGGTCGGTCCACGAATTATATTGCTTGAAAGAAAGCCAAGTAAGCAAAGTTCATGCTCGACTGGTTCTCACGAGACAACATGTACGAGTTGAACTAAGAAAACACTGGCAAAAAGCTATAACTAATGACCTAAAAACAAACTTTGATACTGAGAAGTGTACCTCAGGTGTTTGAAAAAAGCGAAGAATCGTCGTAAACAAAACTTCGAAGATGAGGCAAACAACATGCGATTAGATAAAGAGGACACTTAACAAAGCGACTTGTAATCGTAGCTATTGTAGTAAGACATCCTGATTCTTTAGTTTATTTGTTTTTATTGTGTTCAGTACGATTTAATACCGCGGTACGAAGCCCGAGTGAACGCTTTCAGAGCGTCTAGTTTCTTGTTGGCAATGGCAATCAGCATCGTTCAATTTCCCTCTTTGCTAAACTCCTGTTTACAGAATAACCATGACAACCTACCCCGGATTGCTTAGCAACAATTGTAGGTTGTCCGTTCTTGCTGAAAGCTCTGCTCCCATAATGCATTACACTGCCGTAGTCATATTTAGTCCCAAGAGAGTCGATGGTTCCTCTGTCGTATTTGTTGAAATTGAACTTGTTCCCTGAAAAAGACATTCAGCCGCAAAATATCAAATTGAGTCAATCATTAGCTCAATTTAAAACTATGATGAGGAAAAGACTCTTATTGGACAGCTAACTGAATTTTTAGGATTAGGGTTAGGGTTAGGCTACCAGCAAGAAACAGTTTAATTATTAAACCTCTATTTAATCTAATAGAAAACGATTTCGAAAAGAGCGAAACTGAACACACAACAACAACAACAACAACAACAGTTTATTTCTACTACTGTAAACAACTAAAATAATTTACAAGATTATAATTATAAATATATAAATAAACAGTACAGTACATACAGTAATGGGACACCCAAAATAACTAAAAAGCTAAACTAGTTGGGTGACCGTAATTATAATAATTAAAAATGTAAGAGTCAGGAAAGAGGCACAACAAATACAT